CCCTTGCCTCTGGAAACATGTTGAGTAAGAAGTTGCTACAACCGGGGTCAAAGAAGTTTTTGCCTGCTTTCTCCTCTAAGATTTTGATGGTTTCCTGTCTCACATTTAAGTCTTTCATCCATTCTGAATTTATTTTTGTGTATGGTGTAAGAAAATGGTCCAGTTTCATTCTTCTGCATGTTGCCATCCAGTTTTTGCAATACCATTTATAGAAGAGACTATATTTTCTCCTTTGGATATTCTTTCCTGATTTGTTAAAGATGAATTAACCATAGAGTTGTGGGTCCAGTTTTGGGCTTTCATTCTCTTCAGTTGATCTATGTGTCTCTTTTTGTGCTAGTACCATACTGTCTTGATGACTATAGCTTTGTAATATAGCTCGAAATCTGAAATTGTGATGCCTTCAGTTTTATTTTTCTTTTTCATAATTGCTTTGGCCATTCAGAGTCTTGTGTGGTTCCCTACAAATTTTAGGTTTTATTGTTCTAGCTCTGTGAAAAAATGCTGTTGGTATTTTGATAGGGATTGCATTATATGTGTAGATTGCTTTGGGCAGTAAGGATATTTTAACAATGCTTGTTCTTCCAATCCATAAGCATGGAATGTTTTTCTTTTTCTTTCATAAGTGTCTATAGTTTTCGGAGTACAGATCTTTGACCTCTTTAGTTAGGTTTATTCCTATGTATCTTTGTGTGTGTGTGTGTGTGTGTGTGTGTGTGTGTGCAGTTGGAAATGGTATCGGTTTTTCTTTTTTTTTTTTTTTAATGTTTTATTTCTGAGAGAGAGAGAGAGAAAGAGAGAATGAGCAGGAGAGGGTCAGTGAGAGAAGGAGACACAGAATCTGAAACAGGCTCCAGGCTCTGAGCTGGCTGTCAGCACGGAGTCCGACACAGGGCTCGGACCCACAAACTGCGAGATCATGACCTGAGCCGAAGTCAGACACTTAACTGACTGAGCCACCCAGGCGCCCCTGGGATCGGTTTTTCTGCTGCTTTGTTATTGGTGTATAGAAATGTAACAGTTTTAGGCACATTGATTTTATATTCTGTGTCTTTGCTGAATTCATGTAGCAATTTTTTGGTGGAGTCTTTTGGGTTTTCTTCATAAGGTATCATGTCATCTACAAATAGTGAAGGTTTGACTTCTTCCTTGCCAATTTGGATGCCTTTTATTTCTTGTTGTTGTCTGATTGCTGAAGTTAAAACTTCCCATACTGTGTTAAATAGTAATGATGAGAGTGGACATCCTTGCCTTGTTCCTTACCATAGGGGATCCAAACAGCTTTTTGTCAGCTTTTGAATTACCCCAGCTGTAAATCACTGATAAGACTTTTTCTTTGCTTACCTTTTAAACTGAACTATATATTTGGACCTTTTTATTTGTTATCTTTTTATCAAGCATTTTATGTGTTTATAGCATTTTATCTGGAAATTGTAAAATTTTATAAAAACTTTAACTTATGTTTCTAGAAATAGAAAGATAAGTTTCTTTTATTCTTTATTTTACTATTTGTCTTATTTTACAGTAAGGTTTTGGAAGTTAGATACCTTATTTTTTTTTAGGATGGATACTCCATTTTTAATGTAACCAGTGGTCAGGGTGCCTGGGTGGCTCAGTCAGATGAGCATATGACACTTGGATTTTGGTTCAGGTCATGATCCCAGGGTCATGGAGACATGTTCTGCATTTGTGCTGAGTGTGGAGCCTGCTTGAGATTCTCTTTCTGTCTCTTCCCCATCCTTCTGCTTCCACGCATGGAACTCTCTCTCTTTCTGAAAAAAAAAAAAGTAACTAGTGATCACCTTAATGTTTTTAATTAGCATTTAAAAATGTTTATTTTAGCAAAATTAGTAAGAAATTTTTTTTTAAATTTCTCATTATGGAAAATAGTTCTTATTCCCCTCATGTTTATTTTAGTAATCATTAATGTAACAATCTGAAATTATATACTTCATTTTAACTTTTTATTCTCCTTTCCTTTTGTTCTGCTCACATTTAATCTTATTCATAACATTTAAAAAAATTTTTTTAATGCTCATTTATTTTTTGAGAGAGAGAACGTGTCTGATGAAGGGGCAGAGAGAGAAGGAGACACAGCATTGGAAGCAGGCTCTAGTCTCTGAGGTGTCAGCACAGAGCCTGATGCGGGGCTTGAACTCACAAGATTGAGAGATCATGACCTGAGCTGAGGTCAGACGCTTAACCACTGAGCCACCGAGGCACCCCTTATTCATACCATTTTTAGTGTGTTCTCTACTATTTAGAAAATCCACTCTTTTCCTTTGTTACCATTAAGTTCCCTACACTTGGGTTCTTAATTTCATTTCTCCATTTTCTGGAACATTTCTTTGAATATATTACAGTAAAACCTTTGATTGTTAATAACTTATTCTGTGAGTGTTCCTCAAGACAAGTAAACATTGCTGATAAGTTTTAACTTAATAAACGAGCAATGTGTTGCAATATGAGTTGTATGTGACACTGAATGTCACGTAGTCACAGCTGAGTCCATGGTTCTCTCTCGCTGAGGGATTGTGGGTAATCGCCTACCATGCTCCAATGCTCCATCTCAGGCTGTGGTGTTTGGCAGAAATCAGACTTTTCAGAATGTTGGAAGGTGCCCACAACTGGCACTAGTGTATGTTTTGTCGCTTCAAAACACCTATGGAGAGTCCTTTGTCTTTTATACAAGAGTAAACTTAGGAATGCTTTGCTTCCTTCTAGGTCAGGCTGACTGCCAATATAGACCCTTTCCTCTGCTGCCTTATTGCCAGTTACATTAAATACAGTATATGACAAGAGTTTATTAATACTGTACTGTAGTCAACATCCATGTAAGCATATACAATGGCCCCCATGCAGAAAAAGATTCCATTGAACCAATAGATAGCAGTAATTTCTGTTAGTGAGTGAAAGTCGTCCTACACGATAAATTACCTCTCTCTTACCTCCCTCACACCAGCCATGTAGGTTTTCAAAAGCAAGTGCAGGTTAATTTGTTTATTTTTTTCTATTTTCTACTTTATTATTTTGTATTATATTACAGTATTATAATCATTTTTATATGAGTATTTTGGGCTTGTGGAATGAATCATCTGAGTTTACATTATTTCTTATGGGGAAGTTTGCTTTGATACATAAGCGTTTTGGATTCTAAGCATGTTTCTGGAACAAATTATGTTCACAAACCATAATTTTACTGTATTTAGAAAAGACAGCTAAGTAATATATTTACTTAGTTCTTACATATCTAGGAATGTCTTTTGCCTTTATAAGTAAGCAACAATTTACTTGGATATAAAATTCTTGGGACATTGTATTAGATAATTAAAGTTAATTGTTATAATAAGGAGATCCAAATTATAGATCAAATGGATGCTGCAGTTGGCATTGTTTTTTGGCCAATGGGAAATGGAAAGAGAAGTTCTCAGCAAGCAGATTTACCTATAAGATGATGATCTATAAGTTATATATATCACTTCTATTCAGATTTTGTTGTCTCAGATTTGGCATGTAAGTTACACCTAATATTTTTTAAGTTTTAAAGTTTAATCTTTTTAAAGATTTAATCTTTTTAAATTTAAGTGGTTTTAAGTTTGTTATTTTGAGAGAGAGAGCTCCCATGTGAGCAAGGGAGGGCAGAGAGAGAAGGAGAGCGAGAAACCCAAGTAGGCTTCACACTGTCCCCGTGGAGACTGACTCGGGGCTTAAACTCATGAACCGTCAGATCATGACCTGAGCCAAAATCAGGAGTCAGAGGCTTAACCAACTAAGCCACGCAGGTGCCCCAATCACACCTAACCTTATGGGAGACTGGGTTATATCAATTCTAGCCTGACACAGTCATGTCCTCTCCTAGAACTCAAATTCTATCTCTAAAAGGAGGAGAGGAGAATAGATAGAATACTAGAAGATAGCTGTCTCAACCACAGGAATCTGTAGAAAACTTACACTCAAATTTTTGTTGATGTTGTTTCTTGTTTGTTTGAGTCCTTATTTTTTCCTACTTGTCCCCCACTTCCCTCTCTTGGAAATGTCAGCTTAGGCCATTTTCTAATTTTTTAATTTAGAAGTTTTTTTTTTTTTTTACTTGTATGTATTCATTTTATAACAAAGATATTACTGTCATGTTTGTGGAAAATCTGATTTTCTTAAAAATTTTGATATTTGCCTTTTAGATCTATGTATCTTGCTTTTGGTAGTTTTGCAGCTTTTAAACCGGCCTTTCCTTCCTTTTATTCATATAGTTTGCATTCTAACACATAGATTTATGTCTCCTCTTATATTGGCTTAACCATTATTACATGTATCTTAATAAAAACATATAGCTTTTCATTTTTTTTAAATGTTTTATTTCTTTCTGAGAGAGAGACAGCATGAGCAGGGGAGGGTCAGAGAGAGAGGGAGACACAGAATCCGAAACAGGCTCCAGGCTCTGAGCCAGCTCTCAGCACAGAGCCCGACATTGGGCTCGAACCCACAAACCGTGAGATCATGACCTGAGCCGAAGTCAGACACTTAACCGCCTGAGCTACCAAGGCGCCCCCATATAACTTTTCATTATTACTTTTAGCCTGTTCTCATTAGCTATCTCTGGTGGCTGAAAAACTTTGAAGCTTATACAAGGAAGGTTATAGAAGATATTGCCATAGTAGCTTAAGGAAAATAGAAGTAGTGTTGCTAGCAATGGCTTTCTAAAATGGAAAGTGGTTGTAGAGTTGCCTAGAGTGTCCGCCCTTTCCTAGACTGAATGTAAACTAGACACTGTATTTTAATAAACAGAATCCTAGAAAAGTACCTGGTCATTGATTAAAGAACAGATAGCTTGCTGCCACACTTTCAATGATGGATTTTACATTCCTTCTAGCAGAAGTTATCTTTGGTTTATTTGTATAGGATTTTACAGGTAGCTTTGCTGTGTAATTAGTTTAAAAATCATTTTGACTGTTAACCAGAAAATGAGAGAAAGAGAAACTCACTTGCTAATATTGCTTTTGAAGGAAGAGATTCAGAAAATATATTTTTGGAGAAGTTAAAGGAGAATAGTATTCCTGCTCCTCGCTCTCTTGGCAGTATTAAAATCAATTTTACCCCTCGAGTATTTCCAACTGCTCTCCGGGAATCACAAGTAGCAGAAGAAGAGGAGGTAAGTATTCTTGCTGTTAGTTACAGTGATCACAATGATAATATTTTTTATTTCATCTTTTAAAACTAATGCTGGTTCTGAATTTCTTAAGTATTCATTAGACTAAAGATAGTACTTCTTGAATATATTTTAGTATTTCGTTATGAGAAAAATATTTTGCAGAATTTTTTTTTTTTTATCTCCAGAACACTAATGAGAAAACACTGATTTAGTATGCAGTATTATTGTTTATTCTGGGAGATAAACACTTGCCATCTGTTTTTTCAAATACATCATTTTCTTTTATTTTTAATTTTTTAAACATCTATTCATTTTTGAGAGGCAGAGTGTGAGCAGGGGAGGGGCACAGAGAGAAGGGGAGACACATAATCTGCTTAACCAACTGAGCCACCCAGGTGCCTCGGGGAGACACAGAATCTGAAGCAGGCTCCAGGCTCTGAGCTGTCAGCACAGAGCCTGACACAGAGCTTGAACTCACAGACCATAAAATCATGACCTGAACCAAAGTCTGAAGCTTAACCAACTGAGCCACGTAGGCGCCCCTACGTCATTTTCTGTATTAGATTTGTAATGAGATATTCTAGTGAAATAGATAATATCTAGTGTGATTAGATATTCTAATGAGAATATTTCTCATTCATTTATAAATACCTGGGCCCTGGGATTTTCAATGTTATATCTTTAAGTATATAGACCCTAAGAACTGCATTATTTTTTACTACGAGATGTTAAGTGTTGTCTCTCACAATTCAAAAGTTGTGGAAGTGATTGAAGATCATTAAGACATAATGACAATTTATAAATATTAACTGTTTTATTATTATTAAACAATATATTCTAAATGTTATCATTTATAAAGTTATTTCTAGAATTATAAAACTATAATTGTTTAAAAGTCATTTATGTATTTTTTAATATAGAAAAACAAATATGCTATAAATAAGAAAAGTAAAATAATAATCCCATGAACTCCTAGAAATTTGCATGAAATTTGGATTAGAAATTTTTGTACCTTTGGTCTTAGCCAGCTGGTAATGTTAAACAAAAAAGGGTAAAAAACTGAATGTTTAAAAATATCACCATTATCAAATAGTGTATTAGTCTACTCAAGCTACTCTAACAAAATACCCTAGACTGGGTGTCTTAAATGACAGACATTTATTTCTCAAAGTTCCGGAGGCTGGAAGCCCAGTATTGGGTACAGGGAGTGGTGGGAGGAGAGCTGTGTTCTGGTCTCTTCCTCTTTTTGTAAGGACACTAATCCCCTCATGGGGGCCCCATTCTCATGACCTCATCCAAACTGGATTATCTCCCAAAAGCCCTACTTCCAAATACCATCACATTGGGGATTAGGGCTTCAACATATGAATTTCGGGGGACACAAATATTGAGTCCATAACAAATAGTATTTTTGTTTTATACAGAAGCTGGGTAATGTCAAAGTAGCTGTTAATATAATAATATAATAATAATATAATAGCTGTTTGTGTCCTTCATTAGACTTCTCTGATTTCAGTGGTTACACAAACAAGCAGAAGCACGGAGAGCATTGAATACTGATATTCCTGAACTTTCTGATTTAAAAGAAGAAGAAAAGAACCCAGAATGGCTGAAGGACAAAGGAAAGTAGGTTGTTTGAACTCTGGCTGTGAGATTTATAATAAATTTAGGTAGACCTTAGTACTAACTCCATTTTCTAGATATCTTGACATATGTGCTTATGTGTGTGTGTTGTTGGGGAAACATAATCTAAATAAGCAAATTAGATAGGAAGGACCTCCATATTTAAAAAGTCAGATTATATAACAAATAAGGCTTTTATTTTTATTTGATTTTGCATTTAAATGTCATAGAAATGAAACATATCACATCTTTTGGGTTAGATATTAAAATCCCCTTTAAAATCATTTATATTTAACTTAAGTCCTTCCGAGAAAGGTGTTTCTCTCTTAGAAATGTGTTTTCTAGAAACTAGAACTTCTTTTATTATTCATCTCCATCTTTAAAAGATTATCAAATTATCTTATATATTTTCATTTATATCCAAGAAATCCTTTTATTTGTTTACATGTTGCTCTGTGTGTTAAATAATTTTTTAATGTTTATTTATTTATTTTGAGAGAGAGAGAGAGAGAGAGAGAGCACAGCATGGGGAGGGACAGAGAGAGAGGGGGAGAGAGAATCCCAAGCAGGCTCTGCACAATCGGTGCTGAACCCAACCTGGGGCTCGATCTCACAACCATGAGATCATGACCTGAGCTGAAATCAAGAGTCAGATGTTTGACTGAGCCACCCAGGTGCTGCTATGTGTGAATATTTTTATACAATTATCAAAAATTCTGATACATTCTGATACCTTATGAATAACAGTACATTTTGATACATTATGAATGAAAATTTGATTTCATATTTTGAGGCAGTTGTAGATATTACTTATTATATATCAAGATATAGACTTTTATGTTATTTGTTTATTGTTGCCATAATAAACTACCATAAACTTAGTGGCTTAAAACACAAATTTATTTTTTATTTATTTATCTATTTTTTAAAAGTTTTTTTTTTTTTAATTTTTGAGAGAGAGAGAGAGTGTGTGAATAGGGGAGGGGCAGAGATTGAGGGAGACATAGAATCAAAAGCAGGATCCAGGCTCTGAACTGACAGCAGTGAGCCCAAAGCGGGGCTCAAACCCACGAACCATGAGATCATGACCTGAGCTAAAGTCGGATGCCCAACGGACTGAGCCACCCAGGCACACCAAAAACAACACAAACTTATTATCTTATAGTTTTGGAAGTCAGAAGTTCAAAATGGGTTTCACTGGGCTAAAATCAAGGTATCATCTGTGTTTTTTCTAGAGCCTATAGAGAAGAATCTATTTGCTTTCATTTTCCAGTTTATAGGTTGCCTACATTCTTTGGCTTGTTGCCTCCAGCCAGCAATTGCATCACTCCAACCTCTGCTTCCATAATCCTATCTTCGCAGACTCTCCTGCTTCCCTCTTTGTTTGATAAGGATCCTTGTGATTACATTAGTATCCTTTGCTTAATCCTGAATAATCTCCCACCTCAAGACCTTATTTTAGGCATATCTGTGGAATCCTTCCTGCCATGCCACATAGTCACAGATTCTGAGGATTAGGATATGGACATCTTTTGGTGGGGTGGTCTCCATTATCTGTCTACCACCATGTTTGTGTGTGTATTTTTCTTATCTTTCTCAGTCTTTTCTTCTGTCTATTACACCACCAGGGGTTAATATGTAGAGTTTAACCGAAGTGACAATTTTTCTGAAGGTCAGAGGCCTGGGGCTGACAAGCTGGTTTCTCTTACATCTGACATTAAAGCCTTACATGATCCTTCCTCCCCTTTCTCGCCTTTTCTCCCTCCCTTCCTTCCTCTCCATTTATCCAACCATTAAATAAACATCTACTAATTGTTTCCTATTTACTAACTAGGCTTTGAGCTACAAAGATTAGTACAGGAGACAGACAATACTTAATACTACTTTATGAGAAGTACAATACATAGAAAAGAACAAGGTAAAATGAGAATACAGAAGAGTGGCATCTACCCTTAAAGGAAGGAAAGCATGTTCAGAAAAAGCTTCATAGAGAATGTAGCACCTCAGATCCTCAGTGATAAGTAGGAGTTTTAAGAGAAAAGGAAAGAAAGGCATTCATTTCAGGTATTGGAGACACTATGAGCAAAAGCTAAGAGATAACAAATAGTGTGATATATGGGTCAGGAACTATGTGTGGTCTGTTTTTTGCTAAAACATAAAAATTGAGACTAGGAGTAATGACAGAGGAACCTAGAAAACTCATCAGGGCCTTGTATGCTTGGTTAAAATTCTTTTTTAACTTATTTTTTAATTTGAGGATAATTACCATTCAGTGTAATATTAGTTTCAGGTATACAGTATAATGAGTCAGCATTTCTCTACATTACTCAGTGCTCATCATGATAATTACTCTTAATCCCCTTCATCTATTTTACCCATCCCTCCATCCACCTCCCATCTGGCTACTACTAGTCTTTTCACTATATTGAAGAGTCTAGGTTTTTTTAGATTTATTCTGTAATATGAGGGTGAAAATGTGTTGCAGAAAACATGACAAAGGCCTTGAACTAGCATTGTTGTAGGTGTTGTTGTAGGGGTGCAGAGGAGGGCAACGTGAAAAATATTTATGAGGTAAAATAGACAGAACCTCTTGATTGATTTTGGGGGAGTAAGAAGGAGGAGTTCTTGGTTTCTAGTTTGGATGTTTGATTGCATGACGTCATCAGCTAAATTAGAGAATACTAGATGAGGGGCCAGTCAGGAGAGAATGCAGGTAAGTTCAGTTTTTAATATATTGAGTTTGAGTTGTTTCTGGGCTAGTCTGGGTGACACCATCTGGCAAGTTTGAAACTTAGAGAAGAAGCCAGCACTGTAGAAATAGATTTGGAGCTTATCAGCATTTATATTATAGTTAAATTTATAAAAGTATCTGAGATATCCACAAAGAGTGTGTAGACCCAGAGAACAGTGGCCTGAGGATAACACTCTGTGACCCACCAGCATTTGAAGGTCTGGCAAAAGAAAGGAATACACAAAAATATTCCCAGAAGCCAATGGAATGGAAACATGAAACAGGTTTTGTTTTGTTTTGTTTTGTTTCCTTAAGAATATAAAAGATTTGAATAGGTTTGGAGACTAGAGAAAGAAAAGATTGAAATCTTTCTGATTTCTCCACAGAGTGGAGAAAATTGGGTCAAAGCCAAGAATTGGATGGATTGTCTTGATTTTCTCTTTTTTTTTCTCCAAGTTGGTTAGCCTTAGTGAAGACCGTCTTAAGTGGTCTGGCTGAATTGTTCCTCCTTGCATTGTGAGAATGCTAAAGTGGGCAAAGCTGAGTGGGCTGTCCAGTTGGATTACTTTGCTCAGAAAATGTTGACAAATTGACTTGGAATAGACAGAGATACTCAGTTACTGAGACTGGAGGAAAGAATAGTGGAGACAAGTATAGACCTAGATAAGGGAAATTAATTAGTGAGTACTGTTGGCCCTGCCAGGTTGAATTGATAGAGATGTCAGCACAGGTGTGTGATTTACCTCCTTTAGGGTTTTGTCTTTTGGATTTAAGAATAGATCTCGGGCCAGAGTGAGAGTTTTAACTGACAAGTACAGTAAAAGACTAATAGTGCAAGGGACCAGATTGCTCATAGAAAAATAGCTCTGGTATTTAGCCACAAAGTCCAAGTTGGGTTAGAAAGGAAGAGATGCTGGGGCACCTTGGTGGCTCAATTGGTTAAGCATCTGACTCTTGATTTTGGCTCAGGTCATGATCTCAAGGCTCTTGAGTTTGAGCCCTGTGTCGGGGCTCTATGCTAACAGCTCAGGGCCTGGAGCCTGCTTGGGATTGTCTCTCTCCCTCTCTCTCCGCCCTTACCCAACTTGTGCTGTCACATACCTTCTCTCTCTTTCAAAATAAATAAATAACTTAAAAAAAAAAAAAGAAAAGAAAGGAAGAGATTCCATGAGGGGCTCATTGGACTAAGAGAAAATGGAGCAATTAAGAAATTAGAGGGCACTGATAGAAGTGCCCAGATAGATAGATAGAAAGATAGGTAAAAGAAGACTTATACTATCTATTGAAGACTTAATATAAAGAGAAAGTTGGCAGAATAGAGAATTCTGATATTCTGATTAGTGGCTGGGATTCCAGAGTTTGAAAGGTAGTGCAATTCAGGTGCTGATGAAGGCCAAGGTGTGGCCCTGGGAGTGAGTATCAGAAGTACAGTTGAAAGGAAGATATGTTGAATTAAGGAGTTCCAGTTATTTCAAGACTAAATTGATAAATGGGGCATATACATAAACCTTAGAATCTTCTGCAATCATGGCAGAAGTTGGGGTAGAGACAGATGCTGGGAACCAGTTTCAAAGCCCTTAATGAATATGAGAAGAGTGATTGTAACTTCTGTCTGTCTCTTTTTTTTTAAATAGGCTCCATACCCAACATAGAGTTTGAACTCATGACCCTGAGATCAAGAGTCCTACACTTTCACAACTGATCCAGCTAGTTGTCCCAGGAGAATAGTGATTTTTAAAAAGCCAGGAGATGACAGTGACCAGAAGGCTAGAAGGAAAAAGATGTCGGGAATCCCAAAGGATAGTGATTTCTATATAAAGGGAGAGTTACAGCTTGTATTTAGCAGAAGGGAACCTGGAGAATGCCAGTTACTGCAGTCCTAATCCCTGATGTGGGAAGGGACACAGTGGAGAAGGTGGTAGAGATTAGCACTGCCCTCAGGGCAGAGCCAAATTTATTTCTGACAGGTTTTGTAGAAAAGTTAAAGGTATAGGAAAGGAGAGGTAGAGTCAATTATGGCGAAACCAGGAATAAGAAAGTGTAAAGGAGGGGCACCTGTCTGGCTCATTCAGTAGAGCATAGAATTCTCGACCTGGGGTCTTAAGTTCTAGCCCCCCTTTGAACATAAAGATTACTTTTAAAAAATGCTGGGTGGATCAGTCAGTTAAACGGCTCACTTTGGCTTAGGTCATGATCTCAAATTTTGTGTTTGAGCCCCGCGTCAGGCTCTGTCCTGATGGCTTGGAGCCTGGAGCCTGCTTTGGATTCTATG